CTGAGGATGAAGTTGGTAAAGACATTGCATGTATTATCCTCTTTTATGTTGTAAGAACTCTAAGAGTTACTTGGGTAATGAGATTTGTAAGAAATAGGAAAATTTGAGAAAATGGCTGTATAGCCACATAAACAGTCTTCATGAATTTTTCTTCTCTTCAAAACTATTGTGATAAAGAAGTTCAAGCTGAATTTAGAAGAGGCCGTGGTGCCAGGAATATCATTGCTGATGTCAGATGGATCCTGGCTAAAAGCAGGAAATACTAGAAAAAATTTCTATTTGTGTTTTATTGACTATGCAGAGGCATTTGACTATGAATCATAACAAGTTAAAGCTAATGTTGAGAAAAATGGAAATTCCATAACACTTAATTGTGCTCATGCAAAACATACTTAAACCAAGAAGCAAACAGAGCAAGGGAACACTGAATGGTTTAAAATTAAGGAAAGTGTACATCAGGGCTGTATACTTTCTTCATACCCATTCAGCTTGTATGCTGAGCAAATTATTTGAGAGGTTGGCCTCTATGAAGAAGAATGTAGCATTAGGATAGGAGGAAAATTCATCTGCTTTGTGCAGATGACAATCTTAGTTGCTGAAAGTAAGGGAGACTTGAAGCACTTGCTGCAGAAGATCAGGGACTACAGCCTTCAGTGTGGATTATATCTCAACAAGAAAACAAAAATTCTCACTCCGGGACCAATAGACAACATCATGATGGAGAAGAGATTTAAATTGTCAGTGATTTCTTCTTGCTTGATCCACAGTCAACATCCTTGGTACCAGTAGTCAGGAGATAAGAAGACATGTAACTATAGGAAAGTCTGCAGAGATCTCTCCCAATTAATGAGGAGCAGTGACACCAGTTTGAAAACTAAGGTGTGCCTGATTCAGGCAATAGTCTTCAATCATTTACTGAAAACTGGATAGTGAGTAAAGATGACAGAGAAGAATTGATGCCTTTGCGCTACAGTGTTAGAGTACTGAATATCCCATGGACTGTCAAAAGAACAAACATTATGTTGTAGAGAAAGTGCAGCCAGAATGTTCTTTGGAAGCAAATATGACAAAGTTTCTTTACACAGACTTTGGGCATGTTGTTAGGAGAAGCTATTCCTTGTCAAAGGACATAGTGCTTGGAAAGGTGGAAGGTCAGCAGAAGAAAGGAGGACCCTCAACCAGATGGGTTGACTCAGTGATAACAGCAATGGACTCAACTATGTCAGAAATGAAGAGGATGGCACAGGACAGGATAGGGTTCAGATCTGTTGGTCACTATGAGTGGTACTTGACAGTCCCTAACAATAACAATATATAACAAAAACATGTTCTTTTTAACCATGTTTAAGTATACAATTGAATGAAATTGATTACATTCATAATGTTGTGCACCCATCATCACTATCCTTACCCAAAACCTTATCTTCCAAGGCTGAAACACAGTACTATCTATTTTCTTAAAAAAATTTTATTTTGGGGAGCTCTGGTGGCCTAGTGGCAAGGAGCTGCAACTACAATCCCAGAGGCGCACGGTTCGAATCCACCAGATGCTCTGCCGGGGAAGGAGGGACAATCTCCTCCTGTACCAGTCAGATCTGATTTGACGGTACACGCACACAAAAATAATAAAATTTAAAAAAAAATTTATTTTCTCTCTCTCTCTCTCTCTGTGTGCATGTGTGTGTGTGTGTACCATCAAATCGGATCTGATTGGTACAGGAGGAGATTGCCTCTCCTTCTCCAGCAGAGCATCTGGTGGATTTGAACCACGTGCCTCTGGGATTGCAATGCAGCTTCTTGCCACTACACAGCATATCTTAATCCTGGTTTTCTGTGAGTTTGGGATGGGATTCAGGTATCTATTTTTTAGGGGTCTTAGGGTTATATTTAGGGACCTGTGATGGCCTAGTGGTAACGAGTTGCACTACCAGCCCAAAGGCAAGTGGTTCAAGTCCACCAGCTCCTCTGTGATAGAATGATAGGCAATCTCCTACTATGTGATTTACAACCTTTGAAAACCCATTGGAGTGTCAGCTATGATTTGGTTCTGACTGAATAGCATATAATAAAAAGAACAAGAACAGAGTGATGTTTATTTCAGCAGAAGAGAATGGAATTTTAAAGTAGAACATGGTACAAAGAAACATGTCATTTTAAAACAAAAGAACTAGATTGATAATGCTTAATGGTGCAGCAAAGATGGCAACAGCAATAGAATTATCAACCAAGTGCAAGGCTGGGTAAAGTAACATATTCCGGCCTTTTGTAGAAGATTCTGTGGCTGCTTTAAGTTGCATGTCTACATTATATACTTCTAGTTCAGGCATCCTTCCTTTCCATAATAAGATATTGAATCGTTGCAAGGAGATTACATTATTTCTGCAAGTTGCAACAGAGGCCATGACTGTCAGAGATGATTGGGAAATGTTTGATCTGTCAATAAAGAAGGTCTGTGTAAGAAATATAAGATCTTATGCAGCCTGTAGAAACTGAGAAGGTAACACAACCTGTTCCATGGATTAGCCTCTGGATAAGCCAAGTAGGAAATATAGCTCAGAAATAAACCAAAGTACTGAGTGTTACTCTATTTTAGGTTCCATTTCAAGTTGTGGAGATAGCCACAATAAAAGAGCTAACAATAGTTGTAGTGAGTGATACTTTTTGGGTACCAAATATGACCAGGTATTTTGCTGAGAGTTTGACAGTTATTTTGTTCTTGAATCCTGACCCTATGGCTTTTTTTGGGACTATTCATTCCCATTTTGGAGTTGAAAGGAAATAACTTCCACTGATAGTAAATAGTAACTTACTAGCAGATCACATGATTACTTACCTATTAGAGTGTTGGAGTTTAACAAATAGTGCTTAGAACAATGCCTGGTATGTAATACCATTGAGTCAGAACCAACTCATAGCTGACTTTCCACTGGGTTTTTGTTGCCTGTAAATTGCATGGGAGATGGCCCATTTTTCTCCCTTGAAGCGCCTGGTAGATTTGAACAGTATGCTTTTTGAGTTGGCAGTATAACTTAACATTAGGCCACAAGTGTTCCCTTGTATGGAACAATTGCTTGATAAATATTATTATTGCTGAAGCAAAAAGAAAAGACCCGTTATCTTCAGTGATACACGTACATCACAGGGGTGTGTGTGTGTGTGTGTGTGTGTGTGTGTGTGTGTTTTTCTAAAATAGCCAAGTATAGTCGAAACAATATCAAAGAAATCGGTGACCTAGTTTAACTGTTTCATAGGTTGTGTGAAGAGGCAAAGAATTTAGGAGATTAGAGAAGTCGTCATGGGGGGAAATTCCTGAACTATTTTGAAAGGATGAGCATAGCTCAGTAGGCAGAGGGAGTTGGAGGTATTTTAGGCAAATATAATCATATTTTCAAAGGCACAGTTAGTTGTATTTTGGTTAGTCACTGCCCTATAGCAAGTTTCTCCAAAATGTAATGGCTTAAAACAATTGCAGTTTTATTTTATCTTAATTTTGTGAGTTAGATATTTGGGCTGCACTTATCTGTATGGTTCTTTTCCTGATCCCACTCATATCATCTCTGTGGTCATCAGCTTCAGTCATCAGAGGGCTCCCCTGAGGCTGGATGGCCTGTGGTGGCCTCTCTCACATGTCTGACTTTTGTAATGACTGTTGGCCAAGCTTCTTCATAGGAGAGAAGAGTTATAAGAGAATTACAGTGAAACTGCATGGGCTCCCGAGGCCCAGACTTAGAAGTCACATAGTGCTACTCCCTTCACATTCCTTTGGCCCGCACAAGTCAAAAGGCCAGGCTAGGTTAAAGAGGAGCAATGGGACCTATAAATAATTTGTGACCTTTTTAAGACATCTAACACATATGTAGCAAGAGCAGGATTAAGTATGGGATGGCCTTCTGGCCTTATCTTTTTTTTTTTTTTTTTTTAATTTTTGTGTGAGTGTACCATCAAATCAGATCTGACTGGTACAGGAGGAGATTGTTCCTCCTTTTCCCAGCAGAGTATCTGGTGGATTCGAACCGTGTGCCTCTGGGATTGTAGTTGCAGCTCCTTGCCACTAGGCCACCAGAGCTCCCCTGGCCTTATCTTTAGCATAAAGATTATTTCCTCCAATTAAACATAGGCACCTTGGTGATGTAGTTGGTTACATGTTGTGGTACTAACTCAAAGGTTTGAAGTTCAAATATACCAGCTGCTTCATATATTATTGCCACAGCTATAGATATTTAATGAAATACCTTGGTGTTTAAAATGTAAAACATTTTAATATATATGAATTTGTAATCTTGACCTTAGTATTAATTTCCTATCTTAATTTTTAAATTCATATTCTGAAAAAGCAGACATCTACAACCATCTTTTTAGAGTAATCCAAAAGTTAAATTAGTAGATTCTGATTTTATGATCTTTATACTTATTTATTCAATAAATTTTGTCTAGTACTCAGCAGATACAAATGCTTTTTCTCTGAGGTATAGCAGGTATATAATTTTCCACGGTCTGCTATTTAATTCTGCTTTCCATTATGAAAGAGTTCTTAGCCTTTGTTCATTAATCATGGGTAACAGTTGTGTGACATGCCTTGACATTAAGTTGAACATCTAAAATTAGTCTGGTTACAATCAGTGGTTGGGAACAAGGTTTCATTAGTTTGTGACATGTGTTAAATAGACGTTACTTAAAAGGAACTCCCTAGAAATAAGTAAGTGATTTGTGTTGTGTGTGTGTACCCATGTACTTGTAAAATGAAGTCTTTTTATGAAGTAGATCAGCTTATTAAATCTCTTTTGAAAAACTCTTCATGTGCTGTTTTTCTTATGCATTTTGCTACTTCATGAATTTTGATAATTTTGGAAGAAAACTGTACTAATTGAAAACTTGATGTGATAAAAGATACATCTGTATGTTTGTAGTTTTTATTATCAAATAATGAATCATTATATTGCAAATATTTTAGTTCACTTGAATGACTTTTCTTTTTCAGAGTTTGAAGAAATCTAATAACCATGACGTCCTGGTTGTATGAATGTCTTTGTGAAGCTGAGCTTGCACAGTATTATCCTCATTTTACTGCTCTTGGCCTGCAGAAAATAGATGAATTAGCCAAGGTTACAATGAAGGACTACTCCACACTGGGAGTCCATGACATGAATGACCGCAAACGTCTCTTCCAACTTATCAAAATTATTAAGATTATGCAGGAAGACGATAAAGCGATCAGTAGCCCAGAGCATCCTCGTCAGACAAGGAGCCTGTGCACTAAACCTCAGAAACCCAAGCCTGGCCCTCGCAGGCAACTACATTTTGATTCTCCTGATGACAAAGACAGAACTGCCAGCAGTGGTAGATTTGAAACGTGCACTTTATCTGATTTCTCAGCAAATGAACGGAATTCCAGTTGCCTAAAAGTGCTGGAGAACATTTTACCAAATGGTTCCCAGTATCATACAAAAACAAGACTTCTTAATGCTACAGCTGCGAATTCCTACCTACAAACAGAAAGGAACACTCCACTCTGTTCATCAAGTAATTTTTCTTCAATACTAGGGCATTGTGATGTTCCCATTATTCAGAGGGTCTCTCATGTTTCAGGGTATAACTATGGAATCCCTCATTCTTGTATCAGGTAATAATTTTTTCTTTTTATAATACTTTTACTATAACGTGAGTGAAAGTTGACAGAATAGGTTGGTTTAGGTAGTAATATACTTTAGTCTTCTTTTCCTTTAGTGGGAGGGCAGCTTAGACAATGGCAGACCTCTCCTTCATGACCAGAACAGGGCCATGATTTACAAACTCCATTATTTACATTCATGAATATAATATAGAATTGAACAGCTTCTACCTCAGTAATAATAAATACTTAGATGGGAGAAAATCAGGAATTCTAGGACTTTCCATATGGGAGAAAGATGATATTGTTCATGTACAGTGAGCTGCTGCTTGGAGGATCTGCTAAGAATAGACAAGCCTATTTATTTCTATTATTAATTATGGTGTAGTATGATACATCTATTGTATCTAGTAAGGTAAAATAGTTAAGTGGCCTTGTTCAGTGGAAAAAACCCTTACATATACGACCCACAGGAGTTTTTTTTAAGGCTATCAGATTCCCTTAAATTACCTGGTAGAATTTAGCTTAGTGAAAACAAAGACCATGTAGTTGAATTGAATTCTTTGGGCAATTAGTTCTCTTGCACATATTGAAATAAGATCTGATTTTGAGTGTTTTCTGCAACTTCAGCCCTCGAAAAAACAAATGTTTTTGATGATTACAGAAAGTAAGACACTTAAGTGAAGTTTAGAGTTTGCTTTAGGTGAAAATTTTATATAAGGTGCCTAAGAGCTGAAATATTTTGTATAAAAATTCTAGCTTAGTGGTATAGTAGAAATTATATTCTTTTAAATATAACATCTATCACTTGTTACTTTAGAAGTAATAGATGTAGGTGTGGATCCCCACACTTTCTTTATAACTTCTTAAAGGCTCTTATTCATACAAAGATAAGGTCTTTACATCTGGCTGATGTTGGCCAAGGTTTCAGAGGATCTTATAACTGGACTTTTTCCACCCCCCAAAAAAATTAGACCTAATTTTAAATGTGAATCTGCCTTTAGTAATTTTAAAATTCAGGTCTTCCTGAAAGAATTTTTGAAGGGTGATTGTAGGGGTGACTCAACCAAGCACAGAGCATGCAGTATTTTTTTAATTGTGAAAGGCTTAGATGCTCCATGAATATCAAAGCCAAGATTGTAATGTCTTGTTGAAGTCAGTTGTGAAAGAATAGCCATGTTTTTCCAAGTTTATTAAAAAAACATATGAGAATCTAAATTGGAATGATTTATAAATGTAAAGATACCACTTTCATTATTTAACATCAAGAACAAAATGGGTATTTTAGCTTAATATTGCTATTTCATTTATTTGGTAGATATTATCATCTCCACCAGGCATAACTCTGTATGCCAGAAGTATAAAGAAAGAATTAGTGTACTTACAGGCTTCTAGACTCTTATGTTGTTGTCAACAACGACATAGGTTCCTAGACTCTTATGGGATAGAGTAAGGAGGAAGACAAACACAGAGTTAGTTACCCTCTGGTGTTTTAGATGTTTACACATGGCAAAAACTCCATTTTTTTGTTACCTAACTTTAGTTTTTACATCGGTAACTGATCAGGTTTTTTATATATCTAAGTAAATATAAGAGTGCTCTGGAGCCCTCGTGATGAGAAATTGCACCGCCAACCCTAAGATATGTGGTTTGAATCCACCAGCTCCACAAACTCTTTTATCTCATCATAATTTCACTCTTCCCATTTTTTGTTAGTGTATTAGACAAGTAAAGAGGAAAGAAAACACATTTCCCCTAGCCATCTTCAATGTCTTCTCATCTGAATCCTGAGTTAGGGTTTCAGAACGCTAGAGATCCCCTCAGCAATTTAAGATTTGCTGTTAGGGAGTCATTCAAAAAGCATTCTCTCTCTACCTCAAATCAAGTTTTACTTTTCAGTGAATATTGCAGAAGTTTAAAATAAATAGCTGGCCTTGGAATTTTAATAAATTCTAACCTTGATTTACTTAAGATCTTGAACTTGAAAACAGAACTCTTTGTCCCTGTGACCCATCTTGTAGTCCCTGGACAATTTTTAAAAGGATTCAGCTTTGTCTGAGCCTTGGACACACAGTGCTAAAACACTCAGCTAATTAACCAAAAGGTTGATGGTTTAAACCTACTAACTTCTTCAAGGGAGAAAAATGTGGCAGTGTTCCATAAAAATTATAATTTTGCAAACTCTGTGGAACAGTCTTAGTGGAGATTATAAACATGGCATAGGACATTGTTTGTTGTTTGGTTGTGTATGGGGATCACTATGAGTCAGAGTCGACCCCACACAGCACCATAGGAACTTGATTATTCAGAACTGACTAAACAGCAGTGGGCTTAATGTTTTCTGTCCTCTTTGATTTGCTTTATATGTTAGGTTTTAGTTGTTGTTGTTGTTGTTGTGTACCATTGAGTTGGTACCAACCCATAGCTGACCCTCCAGTGGGTTTTCAGAGACAATAAATCATGTGGGAAGAGATTGCCCATTTTCTCCCATGGAGCAGCTGATAGATTCAAACCAACAATTCAAGATTTTGTCACTGAAGGCTTTTTTAAATGATAGGTTTGGTTTTGTTTTTAAAAAAGGAAAAATCAAATAGCCAAAGGAGAGCTAGAACAAGAAATTCTATTATGCTCATCATAATCTGTCTTGTTTTAATGACTATAAAAATTATGTCACACTTCAGAATGATAGTTTTTATTGATGCATTTTCAAAAGTTGGTTTATAAGCAAACATGCTTTTAAAACCTTGGATTGTGCAGTATGCATTACATTAGAAATTTTATTTCCCGTTTTTATAGAGAGGAATTTAGATCTTTGCAAAAGATAATATTCCAGATGGTTAGAGGTCTCGAAAAATTGGGATTGATATGAAGCAATTATATAGTATCCTGTGTAAAATCTATTAGAATAGAGACTATCAATCAAATTCTAAAGTGTAAAGGAAGGAATTAGTTTGTCTTGTTAAGACACTGTGAATACATGGACCAAAGACCTTGTCCTAATAAAATACCTATTTTTAGGAACTCCGTTTTTTTTGTTACCTAACTTTAGTTTTTACATAGGTAACTGATCAGTTTTTTTATATATCTAAGTAAATATAAGCGTGCTCTGGTGCCCTCGTGATGAGAAATTGCACTGCCAACCCTAAGATACGTGATTTGAATCCACCAGCTCCACAAGAGAAAGACGGATAGTCTCCTTCCATGCAATTTAAAGCCTCTGAAAACCTGCTGGAGGGTCACCTGTGAGTCATTTCTGACTTAAGGGTAAACATCAACAGCAAGCAAGTAAATACAGAAATATTTTGAAGATTAATCAGTTAAGGTTTTATAGTTGTTACCATCAGTTCCATGCCAACTCATAGTGACCCCAAAGGGCAAGATCAGTGGCCCCATAGAGTTTCCAAGCCTGTAAATCTTTACAGAGGATAGATACCTAAAGAGCAGGACTGGCAAGCTCTGGTAGCCTAGTGGCAAGAAACTGTACCGCAATCCCAGAGGTGTATGGTTCTAATTCACCAGATGCACTGCTGAAGAAGGAGGGACAATGTCCTCCTGTACCCAGTCAGATCCAATTTGACAGCATACAGACACAAAATAATAATAATAATAATAATAATAATAATAGCAAGCAGGATCACATGGCCCGATATGGTTTCCAAATCTGGTACAGAATTAGACTGACATCTTTCATCTGAGGAGCAGCTGCCGGAGTTGAACCTCTGACCTTTTGGTTAGCAGCTGAGTTCTTAACCAGTGTGCCATAAGGACACCTGTGCTTTAGGGGATGTGAAAAAAAAATCTGCCTTAAAAATTCTTCAGAAGACAATGTCTGAAAGCCACACAGAGTCTTGGATCTAAAATAGTAACTCCTCGATTTTTTGTTTTTGTTTTTGAAGGGTTTTTTCCTCCCTATCTTGTTTCAGGGCATGGTGAGGTGAGGATGGAGATGAAAATATCAGGGAAATTCAGCTAATAAAAGAACTTAATCAGTTTTAGCACTTTGATACGTAACTTTAAAAAAAATAGACTGTGCCTAATATATAATAAAATATAATAGCTACTTTACGCCTTTAAGTTTCCTTATCTTGTCATTAAATATTGAAGCCCATTTATAAATATATATTAGACAGAATACCTCAGAGGAAGAGAATCCTTGGACTGAAATGGAGAAAATTAGAGTTTGTGTTCGAAAACGACCTCTTGGCATGAGAGAGGTACGTCGTGGAGAAATTAATATTATTACGGTAGAAGACAAAGAAACTCTACTGGTTCATGAGAAGAAAGAAGCAGTTGACCTCACACAATACATTCTGCAGGTATGATGATTTCTTCTCGGATTTAGAATTAATATTATCAAATAGATATTTTTTTCCTTTGACAGAATATAAAATCTAGTTTCTGATTTAGAGATTGGTGTTTATTCCTAATGTGACATTGTGTTGAATTTTTAATACTCTGGACCTTAATTTTTGATACCGTGGTGCAAGGGAGGATACAGAGTGGTACCACTGAGTCAGAAAGTGACTCATAGCTAACTCTTCAGCAGGTTTTCAGAGGCAGTAAATTGCACAGGAGGAGATTGCTTATCCTCCCAAAGAGCAGCTGTTGGATTTGAACCACATGCCTTCAAGTTGACAGTGCAGCTCCTTATCACTAGGCTATCAGAACAGTGGTGCAAGGGAGGCCACAAAGACATAATTCCTCCATTTTTGTAGATTGGAGTGGACAGTCATTTAATATTCTTTTTGAGAATGTAATTATAATTTATAAATAATTTCATTTTATTAGGAGGGCAGAGGAAAAAGTAGAGAGGGAATGAGATAATAAGCTGGACTAGCCACTGAACATATACTCCAGAATGACTGACTGTGATTGCAGTCTCAGTTCTCACCTGCCTCTCTCACAATGAAAACATCTCACTTTGCTGAGTACAAGTCTCACGTTTAAACATGTGGATGCTTTCAAACAACAGGACTTCATAGTGACAGCCAGTCAGTTTATTCTTATCTCTTCTGAATTAGTCATAATTTGGTGAGATTGGGCTCTGAGCAGACCTTTGTGAACAGGCAGGGTTATAATTGTACATCTTATACACTTAAAAAGGTTTAAATAAAATACTGATAGCACAGATGTTAACTCCCTTCCAGTGTGATCATGAAGAGTCCAAGGAGAAACGGTTTAGCAGTGAAAGGACTTTATTCTAGATTGATTGTTCAGTACACTGTGCTGTAACTCTTCAATCATGTATGAAAGTAGCAAAGTCCACATGGAAAATCAGTTATTTTCAAATTGCAGAGCAGTTGAGAAATCTAAAACAGATTGGACTTTCAAGATATTAAGATGAAGGAATTCAGAGTTTAGTTTATTTTTAATCTTACTTATTATTTAAACTTTCATATTAGATGAATTTCATTCTTGCTCTTTTGCCATAAAACCAAGTGAGTGGTAGAAGAAAAATAGTGAGTAATTTTGTGTGGTCATAATTCACTTTCGTTGCCTAAGGTGTTATTTCTAATGATTTAAATCTTTTAACACTGAAGTAAAATTGTTAACACTTCCCCCCCTCCCACCAACTTTTATTGTTCTTTTTTTTATTATTACCAAAATTAGGTTTCAAAGTAATCCAGTGAGGCTCTCTATGGGCACTAAATTACTGAGGATGCTGTACAACCAATAGCTTTGTTTTAACAACCTATTGATTGCTTATCAATGCACAATCTGTTAGGTCTCAGTGAGAGATATTTATTTAGAGGATGGTTTAAAGGGCCAATTAGTTGTAATGCTATCTAGTTCCAGGCTACTTAAAGCCACAGTCATGGCCCTATCCAATCACCATCTACCCAAGATTTCCTTAATGGTGTTTCTGTCACAGTAATTCCCTCAAGGAGGCATCGTCTTATCTTTTGTATTTTTCCATTATCTGAAAACACAATAACCTTACTTCTTTGTCACTACCATTGGTCGATACTTATTGAATACCCATAGTTTCCATAGCACTTTTTCTGCTGTTTGAACTTTGGACCTTTGCACCCATAGGTCAAAGTCCTTACCTGTCAATGCTGTAATATGAAAGTGGCAGGACGGTTCCCCTCCTCCCTTTTTCCTTCCTAAAGAAAAAGTAGGTTAATAGAAAACTGGGTACTAAATCCTAGCCTTCTGGATTTTATTTTTAAATTTATTCAGGGATTTGAAACAGTAAATTGTATGTGTATTTACATAAATTTTCTTATTCTTTCAAAGCTTCTTTTGTTATTTAGTAAATATGGTCATATATACATAGTATCCTGTCCTATTTATTATTAAAATTTTTCTCTGTGATATATAAAAATATTTATAGATATATAAATACACATAAAAAGGCTCTTTCTGAAATTTGGAATTATAGACAATTCTCTGGTTTTTTCCCAGTAAAGAATGATTTCAGAATTGTATACAAATGTTAATGATACTCTTGCATAGTCTTTTGTCTTTCACTAAAAGTACTTACAAAACCACTGAATTTAAGGGATCTCTGGTGGCCTAGTGGCAAAAAGCTGTACTGCAATCTCAGATGTATGCGGTTCTAATTCACCAGATGCTCTGCTCAAGAAGGAGGAGCAATCTCCTCCTGTACCAGTTAGATTCAAGTTGATGGTACACACGCACAAAATAAAAAAAAAAAAATTTAAAAAACCAAAACACTGAATTTTTAAAAAACAACCCACAACAAAACACTGAATAAACCAATATCTATATTCTTTTGGAAGGAAATATTCCTTTCATAAGTGCTAAGATATTTACTCTCAACTCAGAGTCATTCACAGGCGCTTAGCGAAGGAGAGAAAGAATTGCCAAATACTCAAATAATAGAAAACAAAATAATACCCCCCCATATTCCCATATTTATTTCTGGTTTGGTTTTTTAATTTATTTTCCTGAGAAGTGTCACATATATATTTTTTTAAATTAATTTCTTTGTGTTTCTGCATTTCATTTTAGTGTTCAAAACCTGTGATGATGTTGGAATAGTGACTGAACTTGCTTTCTTATTAGACTCTGTTGTTGTTAGGTGCTGTTGAGCCAAGTATGACTCACAGTGATCTCGTGAACAGCCAACCTGAAACTTGCCCTATTCTGTGCCATCCTCCTCATCTTTGAGACACTAGAGCCCATTGCTGAGGTCACACACAATCCATCTCATTGAGGATCTTCCTCTCTTTACAGACCCTCCATCTTTTCAAGCATGATGTCCCTTTCTAAGGAATATCCTCACCTAGCTACATGTCCAAATTATGAAAAAACAGAACTTCCCTCCTAGGTGGTAAAATGAGATAACATAATATCTGTTCCCCTGGAAGTCCCTTCTGTACTATGCATATAACCATTTAACAGATAAATGTATATGGAATTAAAAATTAGGCTGTGTAACTTAAGGAATCAAGATCTCCTCTAGAATATTTTCTATATTTGTCCCTAGCAGGGCTATAAGGATAAACTTTCTAGACCTGAAGACTGGCCAGTTTACCTTTGTATTCCTCAATTTACTTCACTTAAGAGACAACAAAATACTGTGTGCCTTTAGTTTTTACACTATGTAAAAACATATCCACAGAGATGTCTAATTAAAAAAACACACGAGACCTGCCACTGAGTTGCTTCTGACTCATGCGACCCTGTAGGACAGAATAGAGTTACTCTGTAGAGTTTCCAAGGCAGTAAATCTTTACACAGCAGACTGTCATATCTTTCTCAAATATAGTACCTGATAAGTACAAACGAGCAACTCTTTGGTGAGCCACTGAGTTAACTACTATCTCACCAGTGCTTCTGAAGAAGAGAAGGCTTTACCCTTTGATGGTGATTAACTATTTATTTAAGTTTATCACGTTTAGTTAGTTAGAAATGTATTGCACCTTTATCATGTGTTAGCTACAAAAGTGATAAAGAAAATCCACAAGATATCTCTTTCTATAAAAAGAAAATTTGTTTTTCAGCACGTTTTTTATTTTGATGAAGTCTTTGGTGAGGCATGCACTAATCGGGATGTATACTTGAAGACTACTTATCCACTCATTCAGCATATTTTCAACGGGTAGGAGAGTAATTATTTCTTTTGTTTTTGTTTTCTATTTTCTATAAGTCAGAAATATCATTTATGCTTTTTAAATTCTTTTGATGTAAACATAACCTCGTGTTTTGATCTACTGGACTTAAAACTCTTCTGAAAAGTGCAGTATCTCATTTTATTGTTCTATCTAACATTCAGAAATTTCCAACAACATTTCCTTTTATAGTTGTGATACTGATTCTCTGTTTTGTGGGGGATGTAAGTTACCAGTTATATCATTTTGTCAGACCTCAGAATTGAAAAGTTTAAGTGATTATGTTGGTGTTGTTATTCTGTGCTGTTGAGTTTCTTACAACTCATAGCAACCCTATGTACAACAGCTCCGCCCTTGCAAACTCAGGCCGCGGATGCTGAACAGAGGGCGAAGGGGTTGATGGGGACCCTCGCTGGGGACTTGGACATCTCTCCGAGTTCTTTCTTGTGCTCCTCCTGATCCCCTCCCGCCCCTGATCTGTCCTATGCCAATCGCATTGTCTCTGATACACCAATCCTGATTACTTGAGTCACTCAATCAATCTACCTCATAAAGGGTCTTCCCCTCCTGCACTGTCGCTCCACCCTCCCAAGCATGATGTCCCTCTCCAAGGACTGGTCCCTCCTTACAACATGTCCAAAGTATGTCAGATAAAGCCTCAGAATCCTTGTCTCCAAGGAGCAGCCCACTTTAACCCTCTCCAGGATGAATCTGTTTGTTTTCCTAGCAGTCCATGGTACCCTCAGTACTCTTCTCCAGCACCACAGCTCAAAGACATCCATTCTCCTTTTATCCTCCCTAGTTATTGTCCAACTCCCTGACGCATAACAAGTGATTGCAAAGACCATGGCCTGTATCAGACACACCTTAGTCTCCAGAGAGACACTATTGCTCTTCAGTACTTTGGAGAGGTCCCTAACAGCCGACTTTCCCATGGCAATACGTCTTTTAATTTCCTGGCTACTGGTGCCAAGAGTGTTGACTGTGGAGCCAAGCAAACTAAAGCTGTGAACAATCTCAATCTCTTCACCATCCATCCTGATGCTGCCAATTGGTCCAGTGGTGAGAATCTTTGTCTTCTAGATATTGAGCCTCAGTCCATATTGAAGGCTGCAGTCCTTGTTCGATTTAATTTTTTATAATAGGAATTACCTATTCTGGCTTTAAATTCACTTAAAAATTTTTTTTTTGTTGTTGTTGTAATAGGATCAGTAAGTGAGTATCAATTAACAGCTTTTCACAATTTTTTGAATTTTAAAATTACTCTTCATACTGCACTCACTCAGCTACTCATTTTCTAGTTGGAACCAAGTCATAGCTGTTTTCAAAGGCTGTAAATTTCCTGGTAAGAGTTTGCCCAGTTTTCCCCTTAAACAAGCCAGCAACAGAAGTAGAAACGGCAGAAAAGAAATGCCAAGGCCACATAATGATTGCCCAGGAGCAAAAGTTCACAAGCGAGAAGGACTTGCCCCCAGATCCAACACAGAAAAAGCTTTCACTACTGCCCATGCTTTCTAAACTGGGAGAAAAGAAATTTCTGTTTATTAAAGCCAAACACTGAGGTATTTCTCTTAAAGCAGCATTAGATAACTTAAAACAAAAGTATATGGACATTCTTGTACAAGTCTTTTTGCGAACATGTTTTTGTTTGTCTTGGGTGAAAAAACTTAGAAGGAGACTTGTTAGATCATAGGATAAGTGGATATTTATAAGAAAATGTCAAAAAGCTTTCCATAGTGGTTAGATGATATTATACTTCCATTTATAATGAATGAGAATTGTCAGTCTTTTTTATTTTGACCTAATTTTACTGGTGGCCTAGTGGTAAGGCGTTGTGCTGCCCACAGACAGTAAATCCATCAGCTGATCAGTTGGAGAAAGATGGACAAACTCCTCCTGTGTGATTTCTAGCCTCTGAAAACCTGCCAGAGGGTCAACTATAAGTCAGTTCCAACTCAACAACATTGGCTGTGCAAGGGAACTCTGATGGCTCAGTCTGTAGGAAGTGACAGTGCTAAACCAAAGGTAAGGGCTCCTCTGGTGGTTCCAATCCACCCAGCTACTCTGCAGAAGAAAGATAGTCAATCTCCTCCTTTCCCTCTGAAACCTGCTGGAGGATCCACCATGAGTTAATTCAGACTCAACAACAATGAATGAATAACTATTCATACTGTATGATAATGAAATACTGTGATTTTCATTTAAATTTCCCTAATGACTAATGGAGCTTTTATGTACTTATTTGAATATTTTGGATGTTGTTGTGTTGTTATGTGCCGTCGAGTCACTTGCAACTCATAGTGACCCAATGTACAACAGCCCTGAAACTTGCTCTGTCCTGTGTCAACTTTATTGTCTCCGACACACCTACCCTTATTACCTCAGTCACTGTATCAATCCATCTCATCAATGATCTCCCTCTCTTTCTCTGTCCCTAAACTCTTCCAAGCATGATGCCTTTCTCCAAAGACCAGTCTCTCCTTGCAGCATGCCCAAAGTATGTCAGATGAAGCCTCAGAATCCTTGCCTCCAAGGAGCAGGCTGCCTTCACCCTCTCTAGGATGAACCTGTTTGTTCTTCTGGCAGTCCATAGTATATTCAAAACTCTTCTCCAGCACCACAGCTCAAAGGCATCAATTCTCTTTATATCATCCCTAGTCATTGTCCAACTCTCTGAAGCATAGCAAGTGATTGCAAAACCATGGCCTGTATCAGTCAAACCTTAGTGTCCAGACTGACATTGTTTCTCTTCAGTACTCTGGAGACAGCAGACTTTTCCAGTGCAATTCGTTTCTTGATTTCCTAGCTGCTGGTACCAAGAGTATTGATTGTGGAGCCAAGCAAACTAAAGTTGTTAACAATCTCAATCTCTTCACTATTCATCATGGTGCTGCTAATTGGCCATGATTACTCATTTGAATATTTTTGTTTGCCCTTTTTTTATTTATTTTTATTATTGTTTTATTTGATATGTTGTTGTTGTTATGTGCTGTCGAGTCGCTTGTGACACATAGCAACCCTATGTACAAGAACCCTAAACCCTGTTGCCAAGTATTAATAAATTACTTTAATAGTTATTAATTATATTCATAATTATTGTAATTATATTAATAAGTATTAATTATTCTTATAATTGGCCTTCTGATGCTGCCAGTTGGCCCAATGGTGAGAATCTTTATTTTCTTGATGTTGGGCTTCTATCCATATTCAAGGCTACAGTCCTTGACCTTCTGCAGCAAGTGCTTCGGGTCCTCCTTAGTTTCAGCAAGCAGGGTTGTGTCATCTGCGTAACGCAGATTGTTGATGAATCTTCCTCAAGTCCTGATGACACACTCCTCCTCGTATAGCCCAGCGTCTTGGATGATGTGTTCTGCATATACATTGAAAAGTTATGGAGACAGAATACATCCATGGCGGACACCCTTGTCGATTTTGACCCATGCGATGTCTCTAGTTGTTAATGAGCAAACTAAAAAAGTGACATATCTTCCAGACTTGAATTTCTAATGCACAAAGCCTTTAGAGTGCCCTTTATAGAGTGCAGATTTGTGAATTAAGCAGGAATTCAAATGTTAGGACTTTAGCATTAAAATATAAAGTTTCATATAAAATATAAAGTAAATAAAATATAGAAAAAATAGTAAGTGTATCCAGTGTGTAAAGTGTAATAGAGATTTTTAATACTAATTTTGTAGTTTGGTTGAAAGAAAAGGTAGATATTTTTGTATTAAAACATTGCTTTGCTTTATACTTCATCCTCCTGAGATCCTGTTCTTTCCAGTGCCTCTGTCAATGTTTTTTAAGTGTCCATACTTGTGGAAGCCAAGGTTCAAAAGACTAGGAATAATTGGTCTCCAAGCAGATTATATCTAATTCATTTCCACCTTTTATTCTCACACTTCCATGGTTCCTCTGGGTCTTAATTGTTTAGTGCTATTATAACAGAAGTACTCCATATGGATGGCTTAACAAACAGAAATAAATGCTCACAGTTCAGGAGGCTCCTTCACTCTCTCACTGCTGTTGAGTTGGCACCAACTCAGAGCTCACCTTCTATGGGTTTCTAAGATTAAATCACGGAAGAAAAGTTTGCTCATTTTTTTCCCAAAGATTCCAACTTCCAAAGAGGACTTTGGGTTAGTAACACAACTCCCTATGGAGTGTGCCCCAGAGCTTTCTAGAAGTCTGAAATTAAAGTACTAGCTCTAGGCAGAGGGGTTTTTTTCTCACACACAAAGCTGTGTTGTACTTGTCTCCTTCTAACATCTGTGAGCCTAACATTCCTTGGAAATGTGCACATGCCTTGGCATTAGTTTCTCCTGGGTCTAGAAGGTTCTCAGTGCTGGGACCAATGTATTTTGCTCCTGGCTCTTATTTCTTGGTGTTACTTAAGTCTCTCCTTTCCTCTCTTCTCTTTCCTTTTATCTCTCCAGGGAAACTCCCCTTAAATTACATCAGGACTGTTGTCTGAGTAAGAGTGTTACATCACACCCTAACCTCCTTCCAACAGATTAAGTGGTCACATCAGATCACATCACTGTGTAACTGCTAAACCACTGAGAATCATAGTCCAGCCAAATTGACACAAATTATTAGGGAACAAGATTCAATTCATGATGATACTCTGATTTTAGCATGTTATCCTTTGTTTTGCTTACTTTCTGTCTGGCTGCAGGTTCCTTTCTTTAGTACTCATTTCCTGCTCAACTCCATTTTCCCACCACTCCCATCCATAATTCTTTTTTTTTCTTCTTTTTTTTTAAATTACTGAAAGTTACTTTTGCTTGTTTTTTTTTTCTTTTTAACACTTTATTTTTAAATTTTGTTATTATGCTAGTTTATTTACAAAATTCTAATACATTATGTTCCAAAACAGATTATTCCATTTTCCCACACCCATCTTTTTTATCAGTTCTTACACTTCATGTTTAAGAGTGTGTGCTAGCTACTTGCTACCTAACACTTTGTTGACTTTATACTTAACAGTGCATTGTTGAACCTCACAAAGCTTGACCTAAAATTTCTCCTGAAATACATGGTGATCAGCAAATTGATCGTCTAATTTTCTTCTGCCTCTTAATCTGCATTTCACCAACTTTAAACAAATGCAACTGTGTACACACACTTGTTATTGTTGTTGTTATATGCTGTCAAGTCACCTGGGACTCATTGCAACCCTGTGTACAACAGCCCTTTTCTATCCTGTGCCAATCTCATTGTTTCCGACATACCTACTCCCATTACCCCAGTCACTGAATGAAGCAGTCCATCTCACCGAGGGTCTGCTTCTCCTGCACTGTCCCTCCACCCTTCCAAGCATAATATCCCTCTCCAAGGACTGGTCCCTCCTTGCAGCATGTCCATAGTATGTCAGATGAAGCTTCAGAATCTTTGCCTCCAAGGAACAGCCTGGTTTCACCCTCTCCAGGACGAACCTGTTCTCTTAGCAGTCCATGGTATATTCTTTTCCAGCACCACAGCTCAAAGACATCAATTCTCCCTTCTATCATCTCTAGTCATTGTCCAACTCTCTGATACATAGAAAGTGATTGCAAAGACCATGGCCTGTATCAGGTGCACTTTAGTCTCCAGACTGACATTGTTGCTCTTCAGTACTTAGCAGAGGTCTCTGACAGCAGACTTTCCCAATGCAATTCATCTTTTAATTTCATGACTGCTGGTGCCAAGAGTGTTGATTGTGGAGCCAAGCAAACCGAAGCTGTCAACAATCTCAAATCTTTTTTTTTAAATTTTATTTTAATAATTTTAATGAACATTTACAGAGATTTTGGATTTCCATTCATTCATTCATTCATTCATTGTTGCACTTTTCTCCCTGCCCAGCCCTCTCCCCGGCCCCCGCCCCCAGTTTGCTCCTCTCTTTGAAAAAGTAAAAGAAAAATTGTTTCTTTGATATACAATCCCCCCGCACCCCTCCCACCACCCCAGGTACACTCCACTATGCACCCTTAATTCTGGACTCTTGTGATAACTATAATACCCTATCATATATCACTTTTAAATTATTCTCTCCGTCATCTGTTTCAGTGCAGTATACATAATTTATTGAGTTTTTCTCAGTCTTACCCCAACCCTGATATCAGTCCCATTCTACAACAGTGGCACCATGCAGTATTTGTCCTTTTGTGACTGAGATATTTCACTCAGCATAATGTCCTCCAGGGTCACCCATTTTTAATTATATTGCATGAGTTCCTTGGTTTTCTTTTTTTTTATTATTTTATTTTTTATTATTTTGTGTACGTGTACCATCAAATCAGATCTGACTGGTACAGTTCCTTGGTTTTCAATGCAGAGTAGTATTCCATTGTGTGAATATACCACAGCTTCTCTATCCATTCGTTTGTTGATGGGCACCTGGGTTGTTTCCAACTCCTTGCTATTGTGAATAAAGCTGCAGTACACATGGGTGTGCATATATCTGCTTGGATGTCAGTTATGGTCTCTTTGGGGTAAACAATCTCAAATCTTTAACATCTATCATGATGCTGCCAATTGGCCCAGTGGTATAATGATTCTCACTTAGAATTAAAAGACGTTGAGGCTTAGAGGGATCTTAGAAATCAAGTAATCTCAAATCCTGAGGCCTTGAGCAAAAGAATGATTTGCCAGCGTCATGTAGTTAGTGGTTTGACTCACACCAGAGACCAGGTTTCATCTGGGTTCAGCGTGCCTGCTGTCACCTCCTGCAGTGTTACTCCCACCACAGTTGGATAGTGTCTGTCTCCTCACCTTCTGCTTTTAGGACCCAACCCAATTCCCTGCTCTTTAGTGAATCATTCATCAGAAACTTTGCTTATATTGATTTTATCTTCATTAAAACATCCTTAATATCTATGTGAGTGAGAAATAATCTTCTTGTTTATTGGATTTATTTCTTTATTCTTTCACAAACCTTATCTTTCAGACTTAAGACTCAATTTTCTCTAGAATAATCTAAAGCACTGAGAATGTGGTAGGAACTTAATAAATGCTTGTAGACATAGTGATTTGAAAGTTCTTGTTTCGTTATCTTCTGGGGTTCTCTTATGGATTTAACAGCTTTATCTTTAAAAAAGAAATCTGTAAGAAAATTTATATAGTAATTTGAAAATTGTTTTCCCTTTTCCTGTGTTTCTATAATCTAAAGCTTTCTTTTAAGATCTGTTTGTTTTAGTTAAAGAATGAAACATTTGTAACTGATTATTACCTGATTCTTATCACTAAAAAAAAATCTATAGAAAGGTAGATTAGCACTTCTCTTAATCTGCATAAGAAATGTTCCAAATGATTCTTTCCCCAGAGGCAATGCTACTTGTTTTGCATATGGACAGACAGGTGCTGGAAAGACCTATACTATGATAGGAAATCATCAGAACCCTGGACTGTATGCTCTGGCTGCCAAAGATATCTTCAGACAACTAGAAGTGTCCCAGCCAAGAAGGCACCTCTTTGTGTGGATAAGCTTCTATGAAATCTACTGTGGACAGCTTTATGACCTCCTAAATCGAAGAAAAAGGTACTAGATATAAGTTGCAAACTGTAAATCTCTTCACCATTGTTTTAAACCAGAGTATCATAAATCATTGAGTGGTAGAATTTAATGAGATCTTAGTACATTAAGGCCCTGTTGTGAAATGAGGATCTCTGGCATTAGATGCATATTTTTTAAAACTGTTAATTTAGCTAGAGGAAAATGCAAATTAGCCTTCTGTTAGTATGCCTTAGGTGATTAATATCCTGCATCTATCAAAAGACTTATTTTGGTCTTTGAAAAAGATCATAATTTCAAGAAGCCAGAAAATCAACTTGTACTTAAATACACTCATACTCTTTTGACATATTACACTGGAAAAACTACAAATAATATTTCCTACTTTCTCTTGTTTTTCTTCTCTGTTATCACGGGGTATGCTTAATGATAGTTTTCTGAAAAACAAAGCAAATCTCTCTTTTTTTTTCACATTAGACTTAAGCTCTTATAAGACTTGATCTATTGTCCTTACAACATAATACAGTAGTTTACAAATCTATTCAGTAACTCTCCTCTTAAATCTCTTTTTCTAGTTTAATATTTTGTTTAAGTAGAAACAGATGACAACCTGAGTAGGGAACAACAAAATTGTTAATGGAACACTCTGGGTGCACTTCCAAGGAAGATGTGGTTTTTATTCTTTTGGCAGTCCATGGTATATTCAATAATCTCTATCAAAACTATAATAAAAATCTTCTTTGATCATCTTATTCAGTGTCCATCTTTTACACACATATGAAGCAATTATGAGTACCATGGCTTGGGTCAGGTGCACCATCGTCTTGAAAATTACATCCTTGCTTTTTTAGCACTTAAAGATTTCCTTGGCAGCAGATTTGCCCAGGGCAATATGTCGTTGGCTTTCTTGACTGCTACTTCCATAATTGCTAATTGTGGATCGCAGTAAAATGAAATCCCTGTCAATTTCAATTATCATGATATTGCTTATTGGTCTAGGTTTGAGGATTTTTGTTTTGTCTTGAAGTGTAATCCATACTGAAGGCTTTGATCTTCTTCAGTAAGTGCTTCAAGTCCTCTTCCCTTTGAGTGAGTAACTGGTTGGTATAAGTTGTCCTGCTTGCAAAATCACAGACCACTTCTGAAGCCAAGGACTGGAGGTAGGAGGTGGGTAATATGTGTGCATTAACCCTGCTCAGAAGTTGCAATCTAATACTTAATGGAGAAGTAGAGGAATGGTTTCTGGGAACAAAAACACAGTCCATTACAACTGCTTTGTTATACCAACCATGTTCTTGCATCTGCAGGCTCTTTGCACGAGAAGATAACAAGCATGTAGTACAGATAGTGGGACTTCGAGAGCTTCAGGTGGATAGTGTGGAGCTTCTTTTAGAGGTAACTTCCTTCTTTACTACCTACCCTACTGTAGCAATCTACATACAGAGAAAAACCTTTTCCTGTATCTAATGAGTGTGATGGACTCAGATTCAGAAAAAGGATGATGACAAACACAGCACTTCTCATTTGTAAAGTGTGAATCCTCTTCTGAGAGGGTAGCTCATTTCTCTGTGTGGCTTGTGTCTCAGTGCCAAAGGAGGAGGTGGCCCAGAGAGAACCTACTGCAGTAGGGGATTCTCTTGGATCAATTTTAAAGACTGCTGATAGGTATTTCTGTCACAATGGCTTATGAGAAAGCTACTGATAATATTCAGTATCTAATTTCAAATAAAATTTTAGTAAGTAATACTTCCACATGGGTTCAAAATTAAAAATCTACAATGAAACTGTACATTTCAATTCCCAAGCCAGGTCCCTTTTCTTGCACAACCAATTTTTGTATGAGTCTGTGTGTAAACCTCCAGAAATCTCTTATTAAAAATTAGCCTTTTATTTTGATAACAAAAGTACTATTGTACATGTTCAGTATTAAAATCTAAACATTAAAATGCCCCTTTGAGCTATATGTACATCTCCCTCACTCTTTGCTAGAATATCCACTGTTAACAGTTTAGAATATTTAGATTCCCCCCCACCATTTGGAGCATTTTACTAGCTTATGTACAAATATATTTGTGGTGAATCTTCTTTTGATGGAATAGTTCTCAACTCTGGATCTACTTTAGATCATTTAACTAAAAAACTCATTGATTTTGAGTTTAGAGATACTCATAGGTGATGCTCCAGTGGGTTTTCAGAGCTTAGTAATTACACAGGAGTAAACTGACCATCTTTCTCCCACATACCAGCTGGTGGATTCGAACTTGTCAACTTTAGGTTAGCAGCACAACTCTGTGTACCACAACACCAGAACTCCTTTTAGATCATTAGAGAGCTTTTTTTCCTTACTTAAAATGTTTGTTTAGCTTTTTTAATAATAAGAAGTACATAATCTTAAATGTATATAGTGGTGTTGTTGTTGTTGTTGTTAGGTGTCTGAATCCTAGGCCATCCTCACAATTTCTCACACGCTCAAGCCCACTGCTGCAGTGACAGTGTCAGCTCACTTAGTTGAGACTCTTTCTATCCTTCGCCTTCTCAAGCATGATGTCCCTCTCCAAAGAATGATCTTTCTTAGCAACATATCCAAACTATCTGAGACGAAGCTTCATCATCTTTGCCTCTAAGGAGTGCTCTGGCTACACCCTCTTCAAGACATATATGTTTGTTCTTTTGGCAGTCCATGGGATATTCAGCACTCTCTTCCAGTAACACAATTCAAAGGCATCAATTCTTTGTTATCTTTAATAATTGTCTGGCTCTCAGATGAGTAACAAGTAACTGAATCACCTTAGTCCTCAAACTGACATCATTGCTCCTTAGTAATTTGGAAAGATCCCTGACTACAGACTTTTCCCAGTGCAATATGTCTCCTGATCTCTTAACTGCTAGTACCAAGTATACTGGTTGTAGACCCATGTAAGGTATAGTTGACAGTCTCAGTCTTTCCCTATTTATCATGATGTTGCCCATTGGTCCAGTGATGAGAATTTTTGTTGGTTTTTTTTTGGTTTGTTTTGTCTTTTTGTACCAGGAAAGTTCTTCATTGTTTACAAAATGTTTCCATTTCTATTATATCACTTAACTCTCTGTCAAGTACTTTTTAATAAACTTGCTAAAGGAGATAGAATGAGATAATGTATATTACTGGTATTAATTATTGGCTGTCAAGTTGATTTTTTTATTTATTATTAATTTTAATGAAAGTTTAGAGAGACTTTAGATTTCCATTCATTCTTTGTTGCACTTTTCTCCCTGCCTACCTCTCCCCCTCCAGTTGCTCTTCCCTTTGAAAAAGAAAAGTTTTTTAATTGTTATGCAATCCCTCCCCCCAAGTCCACTCCACTATGTAGCCTTCATTCTGGACTCCTGTCATGACAATAATTCCTAATCATATATCTCTTTTAAACAGTTTTCTCCCTCATCTGTTTCAATGCAGTATACATAATTTATCCCATCTTTCTCAGTCTCCCCTCAACCCCGATGTCAGTCCGGTTTTACAGCAGTGGCACAATGCAGTATTTGTCCTTTTGTGACTGAGATATTTCACTCAGCATAATGTCCTCCACGGTCATCCATTTATTATAATATTGCATGAGTTCCTTGTTTTGCAATGCAGCATAGTACTCCATTGTGTGAATATACCACAGCATCTCTATCCATTCGTTTGTTGATGGGCACTTAGGTTGTTTTCAACTCTTTGCTATTTTTTTTTTATTATTTTTATGTGCGTGTACCGTCAAATCAGATCTGACTGGTACAGGAGGAGATTGCCCCTCCTTCCCCGGCAGAGCATCTGGTGGATTCGAACCGTGCACCTCTGGGATTGTAGTTGCAGCTTCTTGCCACTAGGCCACCAGAGCTCCCCAACTCTTTGCTATTGTGAACAAAGCCACAAAAACATGGGTGTGCATATATCTGCATGAGTGGCAGTTATGGTTCCTTTGGGGTGTATTTCCAGTAGTGGAATTGCTGGGTCAAATGGTATTTCTATTTGCAACTTTTTGAGAAAGCACCATACTGCCTTCCACAATGGTTGCACCAGATTTTTGTTGTCTTGATGTTGAGATGCAATTCATATTGAAGACTGCAGTGTTTGATGTTCTGCTTCAAGTCCTCTTTACTTTCAGCAAGCCAAGTTGTGTCATCTGCATGGTGAAGGTTATAGTTGAGTCTTCGTCAATCCTAATGCCACATTCTTCACAGTGTCCAGCTTCTTGAGTAATCTGCTCAGCATACATATGGAGAATGATATGACCCTGATGTATACCTTTCCTAGTTTTAAACCATACAGTATCCCCTTGCTCTGTTTGCACAGAAGCCTCCTGGTCTAAGTTTAGGTTTGCACAAACACAATTAAGTGATTTGGGATTCCCATGCTTCTGCTTGTTATGATCTACAGTCAGGTACCTCTGTATAGCCAATAAAGCACAAAAGACATTCTTCTTGTATTCTTTGCTTTCAATCAGGATGCATCTGACATCAGCGATGTCCAGCTTGAACATCTGGTAGTTCTCTAGTTAAAATTGATCCTCAGCAGTATATTGCTTGCATGTGATATTCATGAAATTGCTCCATAATTTTCACATTCTGTTGGATCACTTTTCTTGGGAATGGGAACAAATATGGGTCTCTTCTAGTCGGTCTGTCAGGCAACTGTCCTCCAAATTTCCTGTTGAAAGAATAAATATAGATATACGATATAAGGAATAATTCTAAATAAGCCCTCTTATTTTATAATTGTAGCACCCTAAAGGTAAGGAGATAGGACACATCCCTGGCGTACACCCTTCCCAATTTTGAACCAGGCAGTGTTACCCTGCTCTGTTCTGAGGACTGCCTCTTGGTCCAAGTATAGGTTTCTCATTAGCACGATCAAGTGTTCTGGGATTCCCATTCTTCTCAGAGTCAGCCACAGTCTGTTATGATCCACACAGTCAAATGCCTTTGCATAATCAATGAAACACAGATAGACATTCCTCTCTGGTATTCTCTGCTTTCAGCTAAGATCCATCTAACATTAGCTACAATACCCCTAGACCATGACCCCCTCTAAACCCAGCCTGGTCTTCTGGCAGTTCTCTGCTGATGTGCTATTCCAGTTGTTTTTGGATAATTTTCAGTAGAATCTTGCTTGCATGTGAAATCAATGATATCGTTCTGTAGTATCCACACTCAGTTGGGTCACCCTTCTTTGGAATGGGAACAAATATAGATCTCTTCCAGTCAGTTGACCAAGCGGTTGTTATCCAGATTTCTTGGCACAACTTGGTGAGCACATCCAGGGCAGCATCTGTTAGCTGAAATATGTCAACTGGTATACCATCTATTCCTGGGACCTTATTTTTTGCTATTTCCTTCAAAGCAGCCTGAACTTCTTCCTTCATTACCATAGGCTCTTGCTCAAATGTTATTTCATGAAATTCTTCTGTATCTGCCAATTCCTTTCGATACAGTGATTCAGTACATTCCTTCCATCTTCTTTTAATACCTCCTGGATTATTTAATATTCTGCCTAAAGCATCCTTGTATAGCAACTCGAGGTTTGAATTTGTTCTCCAGTTCCTTGAGCTTAAGAAATGCTGAACGAGTTCAGCCCTTTTGATTTTCTGACTCTAGCTCCTCGCACATTTCATTGTAATATTTTGCTTTGCCATTCCATGCTACCTTTTGGAATCTGCTGTTCAGCTCTTTAGTATCTTGAATTCTTCCTTGTGCTTTGGCTTCTCTATGCTCCAGTGCAATCTTCAGAGTTTCTTCTCACATCCATTTTGGTCTTTTCTTCCACTTCTGTCTTTGTAATGACCGTTTGCACTCTTCCTGGATGATACATTTTACATCCTCCCACAACTCATCTAAGAGGCTGAGCTCTATGAGGAGAAGTGTGGCATCAGGATTGGTGGAAGATCTATTAATAATCTGTGTTATACAGATGACACAACCCTGCTTGCTGAAACTGAGGAGGACCTCATGCAGTTGCTGCATAGGGTCAAGGACTGCAGCCTTCAGTATGGACGGAGGCTCAATGTCAAGAAGACAAAGATTCTCACCACTGGACCAATTGACAGCATCAGGATGGATGGTGAAGAGATTGAGATTGTTCACAGCTTCAGTTTGCTCAGCTCCATGGTCATCACTCTTGGCACCAGCAGCCAGGAAATAAAAAAACATATTGTGATGGGAAAGCCTGCTGTTAGGGACCTCTCTAAAGTACTCAAGAGCAAGGGTGTCTCTCTGGAGACTAAGGTGCATTTGATACAGGCCGTGGTCTTTGCAATCACTTGTTATGCATCAGAGAGCTGGACAGTGACTAGGGAGGATAGAAGGAGAATTGATGCCTTTGAGCTGTGGTGCTGGAGAAGAGTATTGAGAGTACCATGGACTGCCAAGAAAACAGA